ACTAAAACGTGTTGAAATAAAATCATAGTGCATTTGGAGGTCACAATAGGCAATGCAAGGCCATATGAGGCCATCAAAAGTCAATAACTTATGTCACCAGTAGCGGAGAGGCTAGATGATCGAGTGCAACGCGTGTAACCACCTCCTTATCGTGCTTGTAAAGGTGATGACGTCTAATTCCATGTACTAACGTTCCTGTCCTCAGCTTGTTGCGAATACCTTGTAAAACGTCGGAGGGACTGTGTATGATGTAGACAACAGCTATGTGATCTTGAGTACCTGTAGATGTCTAATGCAATATTTCTGACTACGAAATAATACTGTACTAGTCACATAAACCGGACAGCACGTAATTCTTGTCAGTTGGATTATGATTAAACTTAACCTAAGTGGACTTAAGATGACCTCTAGATAACCTAGAATGGCATTACTGTGTGTGAAATACTGTTGTCCCACAGCTGCACCTAATAAAATGAGCTTAGAAGCACATTGTGAAGAGAAGCATCGTTCTTGCAGGCTGCTGATGAACCAATTTTGAACAATGGCCTGATCTCACCTAACCCATGTGGGGAACAAAAATGGTCGAAATGAACTCCCTACACTCATTATGCTTATTTCCACGCCCCCAGTAACCGTTTTGACGTGTTAAAAGAGGGTTTAACTGCATCCATCTGAACAACGGTTTTTGACCTTTCGTGGTCTCTAGTGACCTCACATTTGATCTTAAGTAAAACATTGAGGTGCGTTCTTCATACTTTGGCGGAACTTTCAAAACACTATCTTTGCCTCTCTCATAAGGAGTCTGGAAGTTGCAGATCCCAGGGAAGAAGGTCAGCTTCCCCCGCCCGGCCGGCGCGGTTGTCCCAGACCACCAGCCGGGGAGGTTGCCCCAGACCACCGGCCGGGCGCGGTTGTCCCAGACCACCAGCCGGGCGCGGTTGTCCCAGACCCCCGGCCGGGCGCGGTTGTCCCAGACCCCCGGCCCGGCGCGGTTGTCCCAGACCACCGGCCGGGCGCGGTTGTCCCAGACCACCGGCCGGCACGGTTGTCCCAGACCACCGGCCGGGCGCGAGTTACTATGCAATGGGTCTGACCAATCGGTCTCCGACCGACTAGGAAAAAGGGACATCGATGCTTATGATCACATGCTTCGCTTGACCAGGCAAATATCGTGTTTAAGCGACTTTACCTGGCACAAGCTCGTTACATTGCCAAGAGAGAAAGAGAGGCAGGGATGTACAGCGCGCGCTCCAAGTTAATCCTGTGGATGCTAATGCCTACGGTTTATGCATCCACTTACGATTTATCCAACACCTTTTTCAATCTACACATCTATCCAATGTATCCCCCACGCAATATATTCACCCGAGAAACGATTAGAGAACTTTGCCAATTACGGCAATAATCTAGCACGTAGGCCTTAGCTACTAACGCAGATATAAGGACCAACCGTCCCCAACTGGGTACCGATCGTCTGGAGACGCCTATTGGCTCCCACGCGGCGGGCAGCTGCCCTGATATAGGGCCGTCGGTACGCAGCTGACACTCGCCGTGTATCTGCACCTCGCAGCTGCTGGCTGATCGATACGGCGCCAGCGGCTGTCGACAGCGTCGCGATGTCGGCCGGCAGCGCCCCTCGTGGGCCAGATGTCCTGTTGCGTGTCGCTGGGGTTTACCGGACCATTGCCCCACTGACCGGCTTTGAACAGGGGCGTCACCAAGGTGAAGGGGCTGTGCAGCTTCGTAGGAGGCACCAACGGTCCAATGACTTTAAATGCGTGGTCCTAAGCAAAACTGTGTCATCCTAAAGGACACCAAACTGCTCTCCCTCCTACAATCCCCCCCCCCCCTCGCACGCGACGGAGCCATTACCGGCTGGCTCCCTCGCGTCCAACCCCGGAAGCGCCCCTGCGGCTTGATCCGCTGCGTCCCACCCTTGTGGCGCCCCTGGCCGTAGCCGCGCCGGTGATTCACAGTCAACAGTGGCGGCCGCCCGTGAGAACACGGGGCGCTGTGAGTCATGCCACGACGGCTTCGACGCCAGCGCCTCTCATGCACCGATGGTTCCCGATCGATGTCGTGCTGGATCTGCCTCACCGCTCCGAAGCCTGTCCCGCCGACCGTGTTTCAATCACCATCCTGCGTCCACACGGCAGCGAAAGATCATCCCGCACATCTCGACTCACATTCGGGATCAGACAAAGTGTTCTTTAAAATCGTTTATTAAAATACATTTGTCCTACCACAGACACCGCGGCGCGGCGCACGTCGCCGCCGTGATTCTGAGCCCGCATTTGAGCGACGCGTGCGGAGCTGAGCAGGCCCAGGTAGCCCTCCTCACGCCCCGCGTGAGGACTGGAGGTCGCGGGATTCTCGCCCGCACCGGAAGTCGCGTTTCCGGTGCGTCCCCGGGCATCGGGCCGCGGCGAAAATGAGAACAGAGCGGGGGAGCGAGAGTCATCGCCGAAGGCAGAGCCCCCTGATGGGCCGCGGGCCGATGATGGGCCGCGGTGCTTTTGATCGCATGTCAGACCTTGAGGTATCTGCGACGGCGGAGTATAACGGTGAAAAAGGCCAGCTCACATCAGGTGTGCTCGGCGCAGTTCTGCACGCGGCTATTTCACAAGGTGCAGCCAAAAGCTTGTAGTGCGCTCGAATCAGTCGGATAGCACTGATTCGCCACGACGCTACAAATATTTTAAAACGGTCTGACTGGTTTTGGCCTGAAAGCCGGATGGCACGTATTTTACGTATCCCTACGTAGACACAAGCCAGGATCGCGTAACTTTTACAATCTTTGGTGATTCAACACACTGTAACCATGTGACTGCACGCTTTGACGCAGTCACTTCCAAAATTACGTCCGACACATTTGGTGTGAACTGGCCTTTCATGAACAGAACAATCCCAGCGGTAAATGGATGATTCTTTTCGCCCGAAAGCTCAGCACTGTTGCCGTGTTATGGCACACGCACGTCACAGCGCACATTTGCCCCATTTTGGAAACAAAAGCTTTCGAAGTGTGTGACTGGTACAGTTGCGCAATACCATAGCAGCATTCACAGTGGATGAGTTCGTGTTATTGAAAAACCAGCAACAGCCCGGAGCTTTTAGTGGAGGCTGTCCGATCATGACAGGACACTTAGAAGACGATTTGGGACAAGTTTGTGAACGATGAAAAACTGACCCGTCACGCATGTCTGTCACGTATCACGTTTGCACGTCACGTACGTCTCGGAACCCGACAATGTCACCTAAGCGCCATGGCTACACCGGCAGAACGACTTGGATCCGTGCCAAAAAAACAAAAAATGCAGCGCAAAAAACCAAGTCAGCTGGCCAAACACACCAAACATGCAAATTCGTGCTTTGCACAGGTCGGTGGCATTCGTGGCGGCACTGGTGTGTCACTTTAACCATGAAAAACAGGTTTGGGGATTGCGGCCAACAACTAGATACTACGACGGGTAACGCACTGTGAGGATCGCAACTGAATAAAACAGTCTGTTCCAAACTCCAAAACCGTGATCTGGGCGTGACCCGAGGGCGATGCGCTAACGTCAATGCCAGCCAATCGCAGGCAGGCACGGGTCTCGGCTCACCAACAAAACAAGCTAACGTTTCGTGAGACAGACGGCATCAATCACCCTTGAACTCCACAATCGGTGGAAACATGTCACAATCAGATGCCTGAGCCTTGCATGAACTAGCTATGCTCGGACAAAGAGCACTGTACTCGAAGCGAAATATCCCAATGCTTACATCTGAGGAGATATGAAATAATGGGGGTGTCAGTCAAGGTCAGGACGCAGGAGATCGCCAAAATAATTTGGGAGATGGTTGATCAGTGCCTGTTCTGGAAAACCATGACCGTAAAGTTAAGCGACTGGAGAGCGGCCCCTCAATGCGATCTGCAGCCAACAGGACAACGGCGTTAGCTAACCTGCCTCGGGCTCACGTGTGCAACTAAAAACGAACAACGAATGCGTCCTGTTACCAACGACCGTCATAACGATTTCTAGGACTTATAAAATGTGGTCGTTAAGAGCTTTTTCATCACCTGCGATATAATAAACGAGTTCATGTTTCTGAAACGTCGGGTCACACCAACATTTACCAATGTGCTAAACAACCGTCATCTTTATGGCCGCTGCGATGGTGTACAAGAACGGGTTTCAGCACTTCGTATCACTTTGTCACGCTATGTTGAATTACTTGTATTCCCATTTTATGATGAACGAATTTTGAATAGCGTTGCAAAATGTGCCTGTCTGTTGATGGCGTTCCTGGAAAGGCCGAGGTCGAGAGACGTGATGATGGAGTTAGGACAGGTATCTGCGCTGACATGCCGCCACAGCCCTGCGTGCCTAGTCTATTAACCGAGCGAAAGCAGACCTGTTTAAATGCCATCAGCCGCAAAATAATGCAGCTTCAGGGCGACTGCCACATTTCTGGTGAGTCCCACGCTATTGGTTGAAGCCGGCACGGCAGAAAGCAGCTGAAAATGACCCGAGCGGGCTCTCACAACCCCACGATCTCCCGGCCTGCGCCGCTGGGGCGGGCGCCCGTCGACGTTACTGGTAAACAACAAACGACCTGACAACGGGGGGCCATGGGCAGGTGACGTCTACAACGCGTCAGTCAGACTGAACCAGTCCGAGATCCCAAGGACGACCGCCTTGAACGTCGAAAATGCCGCGAGGCTCGGTGACACGGGGCTGTTATCCCGCTATGGCCGCGCGGTTTGTACCGGGCTGGCAGCGGCGGGCGAGCGGTCCCGGTCCCGGTTCCAGCCAAGACCCCGGCCCCGGCAGTCGGACGTTGGTCCTCGGCCCGCTTGAGCAAAACAAAACGAACATCAACAATGGCGGCCTGGCCACCGACAAAGCTGCCAACGCAAGGCCAGGCTCTCGGACCGACAGCCGTACGGTAACAGCGCGCCGGCCGGCGCCGCCGCCGTGCTAAGCTCTCAGTACACTGGCCGTGGTCCGCGGTCGCCGTCACGCCAGGCCCGGCGGCTCGCCCGTCTCCATCGGCGCCGGGCTCTGCACCGACAGCGACTGCAGCGCCGTGCTCGGCGACGGCGGCGCCTCCTGGCCGCCGAGCGCGGCCGGCAGGTGGCGGAGGTAGGTGGGCGGCTGCTCCTCCGAGTTGGCGCGGCGCGGCGGTGCGCGCGGGGAGCGCGGCGGCGCCGCCTCGTCCACGCTGCCGCCGCCGCCGCCGCCCTCGCCCAGCTCGTAGCGCGCGTGCGTGCGCATGTGGCGCGTGATCATGTCGCGCCGGCACGCCGCGTACGGACACTGCGGGCACTTGTACGGCTTCTCGCCGGTGTGCGTTCGCTGGTGCGTCGACAGGTGATCGGAGCGCGAGAACACCTGGCCGCAAGCGCGGCACGTGTACGGCTTGAGGCCCGTGTGCAGCCGCATGTGGCGCGTCAGCATGTCGCTGCGTGCGAACGAGCGCTTGCACGTATCGCACACGTACGCCTTAGAGGCGGTGTCGGCGGGCTTGCTCTTGTGGCGCGACGCCATGTGCTTGGCCAGCCGGTCGTGCAGCGAGAACATCTGTCCGCACACGGGACACACGTAGGCCACGTCCGTGCCCGGCGGCATCTCCTCCACCACGGGGCACACCTCCAGGTTGTAGCGCAGCGCCACCGAGTCACGCGTCGTCGGCGAGGCCACATCACCGCGGACGATCGGTATGGGCGGGTGCAGGCCGGAGCCGGGCAGTCCGAGCAGACGGTGTGGCGCTAGCCGCAGCGCCGCTTCCCAACCGGGCAGCGCGCCGGCGCCCGGCGCGCCGCCTGGCGGCGGTGCGCGCAGCGACAGGTCGAGCGGTGAGTCCTGCGGCGACGACTGGTCCGACTCGAGCGAGCCCGACTTGCCGGGGATGCGCAGCGGCCGCGGCGCGCGCCGGCCCTGGCGCAGCACGGAGCCGCGCGCCGGCGCCGGCGCCTCCAGCCAGGCGCTCAGGTCCGAGTCGGAGTGGCTGCGGCGCCGGTACAGCTCGCTCAGCTGCGACAGGTACTCGAGCGGCAGTGGCGACTGCGAGAGCGAGCCGGACGCCGCCGGGCTCACCGGCGTCAGCGGCGAGAGCGGAGAACCGGCCGGTAACCGGCCGGGCGCCTCCAGCCGTCCATCGCCGTCCGCACCGGCCGCGCACTGCGCGCACGCGCAAAAGTTGAGCCGGTGTGGCGGCGGCTTGCGCGGCGCGCCGGCATCGCGCTCGCACGTGACCACCTGCAACCGCGGCGGCGGCCCGACCGTCGGCGCATGGGGTTCGTGTTTCGCCTCGCTGTCTGGCTCCTCCTTCACACGCAGCGGGCTGAGTCCGGGCAACGGCGAGCCGTGGCCGACAAACGGACTGTCGATGGAGGAGTGCGGCGAGCGGGAGGACGCCGGTGAGAATACGTCCTCCTCCTCCTCTGAGATGGCGCGGCACGCGAATCGCTCGCGGTCCAGGCTGTCGAACCGGAACACGTCCGAGGAGAGCGCGCGAGGACTGCGCGCGGCCGACGGCGGCGCCGCCTCATCGCTGACGCGCGGCGGCTCGGCCTCGGCGCGTGCGAACATAGGTGGCGCTGGCGGGTGGCACTCAGGCGTTATAAACGGCACTGTCGGGCGGCTCTCGGTCAATATAGACGGCGCTGCGGGCGGCTCATGGTCGACCCGCCCGAGGCCGATGGTCAGCTTGTCGAGCAGCGCGTTCAGACGGCGCCGCTTGCTGAGCGAGGGCCGCTGCTGGCTGGCCGGCGGCACCGCCAGCTGTGCCATGGTGCCGTAGTGACGTCAGCAGGGGAGGGCCGCATGCTGTCAGCCCCGCTCGGCTCGCAGGTGGCCTCCTGTCAACACAGGGCGACGCTATCACTGCCGGCTCCGCGGGAAGACACGACACGTCACGTGAACCAGCCCGGAGGACAAGGACGTTAGAACACGTGTCGACCGGTGGTAGCGCCCAAAAATGCCTCGTGATGGAGTAGCAGGGCGGTACTAGTTTTAATCTTGTTTTGTCTTTGCGTAGTGTTTGCAATTATCCCAAATATCATCTCTGTACACCACATTGCTTCCTTGGGGGAAACCCAAGCCTTTTCGGGCGTCTTCAGGCCTCAAGAACCGTTGTGAAAGATTCCAAGAGCGGTTTTGCTTTTTTGCAATATCAAACAGGATCTGAGACTGACATTGGGCTTGACATACATCCGCAAAATACACTGACAATCTGTAAGTCACGAAAAACATACGGGTATTCCACTGAAATCGGCTAAGTCCTGGGGCTGTTAGACCACACGGGAACTAAATTGGTCCCAACGCCCCGGGAAAAGTGAGCTTTGAATCACGATGCAATTACTATTTCGGCCCAAGCGGCCACCAGACGCAGCCTGGCTATTCAGGCACACACCTCTAACACCTAAAGGAATTAAACAAATACATAAAATGGCCAAGAAGGACGATATACTGTTAACATTATTTTGCCATCACGTTTTGCTTGTTTCACAGAACAGAAGCGTGCATTTGGGCTGACTTAACCAAATTATACTAACTCCTTAACCAAATCATCCCTTGCTCTACTTTTTGCGCGCGCTGTATTTATACATGCAACACGTCATTATCTCGATGCTCTGAGACGAAACAGTCGGGGTCTTAAAAATACAAAAATACGTCGTACGCATGGGGACTGGGGATTTTAGCCGCCACGACCTTTTAGCGAGAATAAGGGGTGCGACGCTCAATGGTCAGGTCAGCACTCGCGCTGCCGCTCAGTGGTCAGGTCAGCGCCTGCGCTGTCGCTAAGTGGTCAGATCAGCACTCGCGCTGTCGCTGAGTAGTCGGGTCAGCACCCGCGCTGCAGCTCAGTGGTTGTGTCAGCACCCGCGCTGCAGTTCAGTGGTCAGGTCAGCACTCGCGCTGCAGGTCAGTGATCAGATCAGCACTCGCGCTGTCGCTGAGTGGTCAGGTCAGCACCTGCGCTGTCGCTAAGTGGTCAGATCAGCACTCGCGCTGTCGCTGAGTGGTCAGGTCAGCACCTGCGCTGTCGCTGAGTGGTCAGGTCAGCACTCGCGCTGTCGCCGAGTGGTCAGATCAGCACTCGCGCTGTTGCTGGGTGGTCAGATCAGCACTCGCGCTGTTGCTGAGTGGTCAGGTCAGCACCCGTGCTGTCGCTCGCGCGACCAATGACCAGTACGAACCGTGCAGGTATTCCTAGCTCTGTGGCTATCGCCTCGCATCGTCGAAGCTCGCCATGGCGGGTTGCCAGGCGTGATTGGTATCTTGACCCTCGTTTAGTTAATGTGTGCAGCTGACTTGGTCATTTGTATCGCATCGCACGTGAAACGCCAAGAAAAGGGCGCTGTTGCCAAAAATGGTGTCACTGGAAGATTGCGAAGAGCAGTGCGGAAAATAGGCCATGCCAACCATAATACGAGCCAAACGTAGTCAGACAGATAGATGTGGGTGACTCATTCGGAAGTCCCGCCGACATAACTCGGAAAAGCTCGTAGATAAACGTGGTCAGGATCACGGAGCATAACAAGCTTGATACTAAAAGGAGGCCATGGAGGACATTTCTGTTCCGTGAATAATCGTGACACCGCTGTTATGTGAGTACCAGATCACAATCGCGTTCAATTTGAATTAACATTGCCACCTGCCGCCATCTGTACCACGTGGGCAGCACTCCCCGCTATTTTCAAATGCAGAAGCAGGGTGAACATGAGTTGTAGACGGAACAGCAGTTATAACGAGTGGGAGCGAAGGCCAATTGGGTCTTAGCAGTCAGAAAATGTTTCGCACCAACTGCTTGGCTATCCCGTCCATGGCACCTTCCATAAGCTTATTTGTGCACGTGGTACTGGCAACGAGTGATAACAGATTTGCGCAGATTTCAGCAGCATGGAGCGAAATTATTTAACTATTTAGTCGTGTTACACGCAGGGGTGTCACTTTCTGAAATCATTGCGGTTGCAAATTCACAGAGGAAACATCTAAGTAATTTGAGCCCTCACGACCATCGGAGATAGGTGTCGTTCAACTTTCATCGAAGGCGGCCCGCGCCTCAGAAGACAAGCTTTATGTCTTATGGCGTGGTCTGGCACGTACAAACAAGACCCTATGAAATATGTGTCTAGTTCGCTGCCATGATGTGCCTGTATGTAAAAGTAGAGCTTAATTTGCACGGCTTTCTCAACAGACATATCGATAACATCGATAACAACAGGCATATCGATGTAAATTAGGTAAAGGGTCTAGCCACCGAATGGGTCTCCAGAGCAGCAGCCTCGGAAAAGGGTGAACAACGCTGGACATATGTTGGAAGCTGATGTAACCAAGAAGATTGTTGAGTCTTGGCACTTCGGGTGATGCGTAGGGAGTTCTTACGTTGAAAGTAATCAACCGTCAGTACACCAAAAGTTAATGGTTAAACGGTACCCAAAACATTGGTTGCATTGGGAAACCCAATGTGGTGAAGCTGCACTTATGATCAGATTTCTTCGTCAGTCGATCAACGGCACCCATATATTTCTTTCGCTCTGGAACACACTACACAAGGTGTTTTGATTTCATCACTTGCCACCCTTTTGTGGTATAACCAGGGGAGCAACACACTGCCAGATTGTACTTAACATACGTCGTGTTGACGATGTGACGGATGTGGGAGCATTGATGACTACCGCTGTCGCCGGTCGTGTTTTGCCATTCACTTGGCAATCAAATACTACAACAGGCACGATTGTGTAGAAAATGCACTCGCCACTGTTTAGAAAACAGGGGTTATCTTTTACCTGGACCATCCAGTACTTTTAAAAGCTGCCGCACATTACAGTCAATTGTTCTTGATTCCAATACAGGTGCTGTAAGGTGAAAAACGTGTGAGACACTTTCAGTGTAGTCTATCATAAGAAGGGGTAGACATGAAAAAACTGTAGGTATCTACAGATATTTCTTGGCGCCAAAAAACATGATACTAGTAGTGATGTGTCTTTTGCATCTAAAGTACACACAGCTAAGATGATTTCTTTAAAAATTCGTTTGGCCCAGTATTCCCTCTTTCCACATATGATTTGAGAGGGCCTAGAAAAGCATTGGAGGGGACACCCATGGCTACACACATTTTAGGGCATCTACTCTTACCACTGACTTGACCAGTCCCGATTTTCTTGCACCTTTGCGGTGCAAAAAAGTGGCTTTTAAGAAACCTTGAAAAGTTGCGCAGTACGAGCCGAGACCTGGCTTAGATCTCACTGCCCCCGCTGTTTGAGAGACACAAAACCAGCCCCGTCTGATGGAGCCGAGAACTGACAATTGCGCTGAAAAACAGTGGGTCGACGCGCTCGGCTGACGCTGCCGCACGTTCAAGGGAGTCAGCCGAGGATCCAGCCGTTTTCGGCGTTTTCATGGAATGGCGCCAGCTGTCGGCGACCAAAACAGGTACAGAAGTCAAAACAACGGCGACGGAGGCTCAGATATCTCATCTGCTCTCTTAGTCACGGTTACATAACTGACATGCTGACTTGCGGGCGAGAGAAAAATGCCCACTTAGCCTAGCTAAGCGATCTCAATGCTGTCCAACCGACTGGTTTGCCAATTAAATCCGCTGGGAAAGAATGCCACCTTTTTAAACCGGTCGGTCGAAAACAACATACTATGGCCTGAGCTAATTGAGATGGCGCACCAAAACCTCAACGAATGTAATAAAGGTTACTGAAACCAACATTCGCGCAATTTTTTGCGTGCCGGGCGATTTTTGTCACGGTCGGGCAAAACGTCATCATTAAGCGTACATTGATTCAGCCCGCTAAACTTACCCAGCATGGTCGAAGCCATACTCTGCACGAGTGTTAAAATCCCATGTAATCGAATTAAAACTTTAACGAGCACACCACGAGAGCGGCGTGACTAGGGATTTGATGCCGGCAGAAGTTAAGGCAGATGAAATGTCTAACACCGTTAACGTAACACTCCCTTAGTCAAATGGTATCGCTTGTACCATGTGTGGAACTCGGAGACCTGCTCTGCTTTTGAAGGTACCAAACAACACATACTAGCAAAAGCAAAAAACCTCTTTTGCTAGAGGCCGATGAGGTAGAAGTTGAGTTTTGAACCGTTGGCTGTTTTTGCATGTTGCACCTTGGCAAAAAACCTTAGAATCCGTCCTTCACACCAAACATCTGCAGCTTTTTATAAACGTCCATTTCCTGAAAAAGTACGCACCGGATGCCAAAAAATGCGATTAGCTATATTTAGCATTCATAAGAAATGGTCTCAGACGAAAGTTTTACACCAAAGCAATTCTTACGATATGCAAACGCGGAATATGAATGTTGATGTATTTCGACACGGCTACACTTGTGAAATAAAGTGTGCGTAACAAGTTATAGAAGCCATTCATCCCTCAAGGCATAGGAAGCAAACGTTGCTTTTTAAAAGCTTCTTACTAAAAATGAAACTGTGTCGAGCACCTTGTGCATCTCGCCTCACCCTCTTAAGACCCACCGCTCAGAAATATTAACATTTTTAGACCCACCGCTCTAAATCTCCATCATTTGTAGACTCACCGCTCTGAATGTCCATCATTTGTAGACCCACCGCTCTGAAGCTCCATCATCTAAGGACCCACCGCTCTGAAGCTCCATCATCTAAGGACCCACCACTCTGGGGTTTCATCATCTAAAGACCCACCGCTCTGAAGCTCCGTCATCTGAAGACCCATCGCTCTGGGGTTTCATCATCTAAAGACCCACCGCTCTGAAGCTCCGTCATCTGAAGACCCATCGCTCTGA